TTGTCCATAATGATGTTCCTCACAACCAGTCACCGAAAGAAAGTGAGGCAGAAAATACAAAATTAGTGGAAACAAATGAATTAAATATTGAAAATGAACAACCTTTTGTGATGCCATATCAAAATGAAAAAGCTGAAACAACAGAGATGCGTGCGAAACACTATAAAGGCCTTGTATATTCAAGGGAATATCTAGCACAGAAAAGGAGAGGCACTATTCCGCARCATCAACAAGAATYTGATCTGAGGTTGGATCATGAAATTCATGATAATTCTCCAAAAATCCCTGAAAATATTCCTCCAGGTAATTCTAATTCTTCCAGTCAGCTTGATCTTCCCATTGCTCTTAGGAAAGGTGTTAGGTCTTGTACAAAACATCATCTGTCAAATTTTGTATCTTACAAAAATATTTCACCTTCATATTGTGCCTTTATTTCACAAATGTCTAGTGTATCCATTCCTAACAGTATCCAGGAGGCTCTAAATGTTCCTGAGTGGAAAGAAACTGTTTTTGAGGAGATGAGAGCTTTGGAAAAGAATGCTACCTGGGAGAAAGTAGATCTGCTGGATGGAAAGACAATTGTTGGTTGTAAATGGGTGTTCACTCTGAAGTACAACTCATATGGATCCTTGGAGAGATACAAGGCTCGCCTAGTAGCTAAAGGTTTTACTCAGACATATGGAGTGGACTACTCTGAGACCTTTTCTCCAATGGCGAAGCTAAATACAGTTCGAGTACTCTTATATGTTGCAACTAATCTTGACTGGCCACTGAATCAGCTGGATGTGAAGAATGCCTTTTTGAATGGAGACTTGGAAGAAGTATATATGGAGCCTCCACCTGGTTTCACTGAGAAGTTTGGAACTAAGGTATGCAAGCTAAAAAAGTCTCTATATGGACTTAAACAGTCTCCTAGAGCCTGGTTTGAAAGATTCACAAGATTCGTTAAAAGTCAAGGATATAGTCAAGGACAATCTGATCATACTCTTTTCACAAAAAGATCCACCAAAGACAAGGTTTCGGTTATGATTGTCTATGTTGATGACATAATCTTGACTGGAGATGATATTGAAGAGATGAGCAGACTAAAGTAGAGCTTAGACAAGGAATTCGAGATTAAAGACTTAGGCCAGCTAAGGTACTTTCTTGGAATGGAAGTGGCAAGATCAAAGAAGGGCATTGTGGTTTCGCAACGAAAAT